ATCAAATATTCAATATCGCTACTCATCATAAGTACTTGGTACATTATCAGCGCAGCGGCAGACGTTCAAACTAATATCACGTAATTTACGTCTCTGTGATGATTGGTTGATATCAGAAGGGAGGCTAGCCTCCCTTGCTAGGTTTCTTTTCTCAACACTCCTCAGCGCTGAAAGTGAACACTCGATGGTGATTGGCTAATTTTTTTTACCAACGGAGGCACGAGAGCTCATCGCTCGCTCGGCCTCCCCCTCCCCTTCTCTATCATTAGCGGTTGTAGTTACATCAGCAGATTCGGCACATTCGCGATAGAAAAGCGGTGCTTTCACGTTATGATATAACAACTGAAATTACAAACAAAAAAATACACATTCTGAGACATGAACTGAAATGAATTGTGAATTTTATTAACATTAAATCGTCCTCCTCCCATTTTCACCTCAAAATTATGGGGAAGCTATGCCTCCCCTGCCTCCCCCGACGAGCCGCCACTGATGACCAGATTGTTTTATCAGATAATAAATAAATGAATAGCTACAAAATCAGACTCTTGCACTCTCAAGCACACAACTCACATGTTTAGTTTCCAGTTAGAAAAACAGGAAATATATATTTTTTTCCCAAACAAGAACTATCATGCCAACCAAGCAATAAAATAAAAAGGCCAGCAGCCAACTTTACTGATGCAAATCATTATGTAACTGAATAATGCATTTGGCAGACAACTTTATCCAAAGTGACTTTAAGTTTACACATCACGCCATGCATTTTGTGAAATTAAATTACATTGTTGACTGACTCTTCTGAGACTGATTCACTGTGTTGGCCACAGTGTGTGAGAATTCCCAGATGTTAAAACTGATTGTTTTTGGAGTGTGAGGCCTGAATCATCCATGGAAATTCCAGACGCCTGCACATGCAGCCAAAGCTTGCAAACCAGAGTGTGTGTGTGTGTGTGTGTGTGTGTGTGTGTGTATAGTGTTACCACTCACGCTTTCACTTTCACTTGGAAACTTTGGTAAAATCGTTTTTTACTTTACAATACTTAATAAATTTGAATGCACAAGTACATCAGATACAACAGCATTAAACAACATAAGACGGTGCAAGATGGGAATATTTATATATATAAAAAACCTAAAACAATAAAAACATTGTAAAATATGATGCATTTATGAAGTCTATTTTTTATTACATTTTTTTTCTTTGAATTCTAAAAGAAGTCATTAGTGAGTTGTTAAAATTTTGGAATATGTTACCAAATTAAATCAAATTAGCCTTTTCTAGCATTTACTAATTATACTGTATGTGCTTTCAGTTTTAATTATGTTTTGTAAGAAAGAAAAAAGTCAGTACAAAAATATATATATTTTCAGCACAAAATAAACCGAAAATGATTAATTGCACATTATATTATAGCACAGAGATTATAGCACAGACTAATTTGCATCTCTGCAGGTCCCTATATGATTTTTCATAAGAAAAACATAGAAAACATCCTTAAAACTGAAAGCAATTATATAATTAGTAAATGCTAAAAATAAGGCTTTTTTTATTTAATTTGGTAACATTTCGAAGTTTTGACAACTGACTAATGACTTATTTTAGAATTCAATGCAAAAAAATAAAAAAAAAAAAAACCAACACAATCCACACGACTCTAATCCATCAAATCAATGTCTTGTGAAGTGAAAAGATGCAAGCTTGTAAGAAAAAATCCATCATAAAGGCATTTTACGTTTAAACTGTCGCTTCTTGCCAAAATACAGCTCTATAATCCATGACGTGGAAAAAGTCCATCCTCTGTTGTCCTCTCACCCACATATTTGTTTAGAACGGTTTTTGCTTGTAAACAGTGCTTTATGTGCATATTTCTCTTCCGATTCATAAAACATTTCCACTTGAAAAAGAAATATGGATGATGGAATTGCTATTTACCAACACGCAGCTTTTTGTTTCTCACGTTGTTGCTGTTTTTGGTCACCAAAACTCAAAATGCGTGTATTTACAGATAATTGATTTTAGGCTTTCAACCAACACTTTCATTCATACAGGCAGAAACTGAGTGGCATCCACATAGCAGTGAAAATCTAACCCACAGTGTCTAATTATCTAAGTGTATGGGATTTACCTTAATAATAACTGGTCATTATGATCAGTATGCCTACATTTTCATGTCCCGAACAAAGGTTTGAACATGACTGACAACATTCAGGTAAGTCAGGTAATTAAAAGTTCTGCCATTTTCAAATTACAAAAAGAAAGTATTAAAAAGCTCAATTTAAAGTATTCACAAGTTTCAAACAAATGACCACGGTGCAGTTATCCGTGGGCTCTTGGGAGTGATTATGGCTTAGATTCCCATCATTCATCCTATTCCACATTATAAGCATCATTTGGACATTCTGAAATGACCAAAGAAGCAGAAATCATTTTGTAATAAACTTTATTTTGGTCCCGAGGAGACAGATTAGTCAAAGAGTCCGAATCCCATGTCATCTTCGGATTCTTCAGACTCCTCTTTCTTCTCTTCTTTCTTCTCCTCCGCTGCAGGAAAAAGAAAAGGAATAGACATTAACGTTACAGGACCTACAGCAAACCAATCAACAGTTCACAATTATTTGTCCATAACAAAAGCATACGACAAATTACATATTTCAAACAGTCATAGCATTTTACATTTACTCCCTTAATGAGTAGTTTCTGCTAATTTCACTGAGGTTTATCTACTTGCCCGTAATGGATATTTGGTTGAAATGACAGTTCAATCAGCAAATGCATATAAACTGAAAAGCACAGTTTTATCGCTCAACTCTATTAGAGAGCCAGGCGGCACTGACCTGCCGGGGCGGCAGCAGATCCTCCAGCGGATGGGGCGGCAGCACTGGAAGCAGCTACAGCTCCTCCGGACGGCACGTTGGCCAGCTTACTGAAACCTGTCAGACGCCCACAAACACAGACTCTGAGACATGCTCACCCAAACTGACTGCTCTCAACTGATCGATTTCTTATCCATGATGTTGATTATACCAGAAATCAGGCTTAGTTTGTCATGCGCTTTTTATCCAGAATTTTAAACTAAATACAGAAACCGCCTGATTGGAGTAACCTGAGTTTAAAGGGATAGTTCACCAAAAAATGAAAATGTGATGTTTATCTGCTTACCCCCAGGGCATCCAAGATGTAGGTGACTTTGTTTCTTCAGTAGAACACAAACGAAGATTTTTAACTCAAACCGTTGCAGTCTGTCAGTCTTATAATGAAGTCTGCGATCCACCATAAAGCAAGAAGACGCGTCGGCTGTTGAGAACCTGCTCAGGACAGTTCAGACATTGCAGTGCATCAGAGGTAAAAAAAAAAACAAAACAATATAAATACTGTTCAGTTTCTTGCACAGACCGATCGTTTCGTGTCTTTACACATCAATGTATCGTCACGAGCCACAGGGTTTAATTTGGTTTTGTTTGTGTATGTTTTTTTGACTCTCAAAACTGTGATTCCCATTCACCTCCATTATAAGACTGACAGACTGCAACGGTTTGAGTTAAAAATCTTCATTTGTGTTCTACTGAAGAAACAAAGTCACCTACATCTTGGATGCCCTGGGGGTAAGCAGATAAACATCACATTTTAATTTTTGGGTGAACTATCCCTATAAAGTGACCTGTAGGGTTCCCATGCACTCTTTAGTGATTACCTGATTAGTCTTTTTAGAAAACATTTTATAAAGATTATACTCACAAAATGCAATTCCTATTAAACTATTTTAGAGCCGGAATTTACAAACTTTGATATTCTCAACTCAATCTTTATTTAATAAAGTACTTTCAAATCCACCAAGGTTCTGTACAGAAAAAAAGCAGCAATTACATAAAACATTACATGACAACTAGCCTAAATCATCATCATACACTGTGAAAAATGTATTTGA